CTACCCTCCTTTGTTTTGGGGTGAAGTAGAAACATTTACATTTGCAAGTTTTACTTATTCTATTTTTCCCCACTCTGAACAGTCTCTCTGAATCTGGTTTAGTATGTACCACAATAAGCCTCTGTATTTTGGAAAGGAATTTCAAAAATTCCTTTGCAGCCCTGGTGAAAGCCACATGCCGCCAAACCCAGACCCGGCACCCTGAGCACCTGCTGCTGCTGATGGTGGTGGGGGTTGTGCATGCCCCCACCCTCCCTCACACCCCCCAAACTCTGTATACCCAGATCCTGCCCCCACAGCCCTCCCACAATCATGACAAAACTATTTTTTGTAATAAAATTTAAGTATGGTATAATAGGTGTTTGACTTTTAGTATATGAGTTAGGTTTTTTCTGGTTTCAAGATGAGAGCGCTCCCCTCCCAAAAGGAGTACTTCTGGGGGAAGGGGAGGGACTTCCAGTGGCAAAGGTCAGAGGTTAGGGGGTGAGACTTCTGGTCCCAAGATGGCAACCAGGGGGTGGGCACCTGTCAAGAGGCAGGGCTACCCTTGCGGCCCTTGACAGCTCACCAAAACTCATTAAGCAGCCTTTTGCTGAAATAATTGTCTGCCCCTGCTTTAAGAGCGCATGCTATGTCAATTATTTTCTGCAAATGTTCTGAAATATTAGAGAACATAGAATCATGGGGATGTAAGGCTGGAAGAGACCTCCGGAGGTCATCTAGTCATTCTCCTGGTTTTGCGGTAGGATAAGTGTAGTTGAAGCATCCCCGATGGATGTTCACCTAACCACAACTTTGTTTAAAAAAAATTAACTAACTCCTGAGGCACATACCAAGAAGTTTTATGAAAAAGATTATGATAATCCATGCTATATTTGAAACCTAAAAGGGAGTTATTTATTCCCAAGGAGGACATGAGTCGGGGGTCCCAGTTCTTGTTGAGGCTATTGAAACAATATGAAGGAATTTTTTTTTTTAAGTTTGACTGTATACCTGGCTTATATATAGATGCAGTGTGCTTTCTTCCTTCTCCTTCTCAACACCAGTACTAGTGAGGGTTGTGCTGAAACTTGCAGCAGCCCTTACTCTCATTCCTGGCTGAGCACAACACTTCTAAAAATTGCTATTCACATAGTTAACAATGAACATAATTCAACTACACATGTCAGATACATAATAGTATAAAAACAGAGTGTCACACACTGTCATGTCTATTTCTAAATGATTTCTTAGTCACTGAATCATTCTGGCGTCACAATTTGGGAGCAAACGCCTATGTTTCTCATTCTAATGAGGGGGCCTGGGGGAGGGTTATGTTACCACTGCCAATACAAAATGTTCTCTCATTCCTTGAAGTAGGTACTAATAACATTCAAGTCAGGAGAAAAAAAAAAAGATCTTCCCTTTGTTAACATAATTTTCCAAGACATTTAATAACCAACATCTGTCTTTTATCAGGAGTCCCAAACAGGGATGCTGACATGAAAAAATTGCTTTTTTGGGACAACTTGGCATATGAAACTGGTTAGATATGCAGGAACTTATTTGACCAGCTACAGCATAGTTAAAAACTTCATCATCCATCCAAACCTACTGAATACAAGTCTGCAAAATGACTGTAGAATGGCCTGCTGCTGGCAAAGTTTTTTTATTTTGACCCATGCAACCATAGCCAACCACCATGTCTGGCCAAAGAAATCTGGAAAACTGCACAAGAAGTCCTTCTCCCAGGAACTCTTGTGATAAAGCAGCTCAGAATCTAATCCCCACTTTACTAATGTGGATTGAGTCTTTGGTAACATATTGTTTGTGTTGGTTTGTTCCTCATCCTCTTTCAAGTCTTCCTAAAATAATTTTGATTAAGCAAAAAATTGGATAAATTATCTCCCATCTTGGCATGAATACTCTCGTCTTTTGACCCCCTTTGAATTCCCACAGGTCAACAGGCAGGTCGTGTCAGACCAACCTGATTGCCTTTTACAATCAGGTCACAAAAGCATTGGATGCAGGTGCCGCCGTGGATGTAGTCTTTCTGGACTTCAGCAAGGCCTTTGACACTGTCGACCACCCCATCCTCATTAAAAAACTAGGTGACTGTGGCATCAATGCCTACATGGTCAGATGGATTGTGAATTGGCTGAAGGGTCATACTCAGAGGGTGGTGGTGGACAGGTCATATTCGACCTGGGGGGAAGTGGGCAGTGGAGTCCCCCAGGCCTCGGTCCTTGGGCCCGCACTGTTCAATTTCTTTATCAGCGATTTGGATGACGGGGTGAAAAGCAACCTGTTCAAATTTGCTGATGATACCAAAATATGGGGAGAGGTGGGCACGTTAGCAGGGAGGGAGAGACTGCAGAAAGACCTGGATAGGTTGCAGGGGTGGGCTAACAAAAACAGGATGCATTTCAATACTGACAAGTGCAGGGTGCTGCACTTGGGCAGTAGTAACCAGCAGCACACTTATAAGATGGGAAACTCCCTTCTTGAGAGCACGGAAGCAGAAAGGGCTCTTGGAGTCATTACTGACTCCAAGATGAACATGGGCCGACAATGCGAGGTCACGGTCGGTAGGGCTAACCAGACCTTATTGTGCATCCACAGGTGCATCTCAAGTAGGGCCAAGGAGGTGATCCTCCCCCTCTACGCGACACTGGTCAGGCCGCAGCTGGAGTACTGTGTCCAGTTCTGGGCACCGCACTTCAAGAGGGATGTGAACAACATTGAGAGGGTCCAGAGGAGGGCCACCCACATGATCCGGGGACTGCAGGGCAGACCCTCCAACGAGAGGTTACGGGACCTGAACCTGTTCAGCCTTCACAAGAGAAGGCTGAGTGAGGACCTGGTGACTGTCTATAAACTCACTAGGGGGGACCAGAAGGGTTTGGGGGAGACCTTGTTTCCCCTAGCACCCCCCGGGATAACAAGGAATAACGGCCACAGGTTGTTGGAGAGTAGGTTTAGATTAGACATCCATAAGAACTACTTCACAGTTAGGGCGGCTAGGATCTGGAACCAACTTCCAAGGGAAGTGGTGCTGGCTCCTACCCTGGGGGTCTTTAAGAAGTGGCTTGATGCCTACCTGGCTGGGGTCGTTTGAGCCCAGTTTCCTTCCTGCCCAGGCAGGGGGTCGGACCTGAAGATCTGCAAGGTCCCTTCCAACCCTACTTCTATGATTCTATGAACTATCAGCATATCCTGACAAAAGGCATCCATACCTATGCAGTTCCCTGACTTAACAAGATAGATCACAATTAGTGTTCAGAGTATACCAATGATAAATCAGTCCACACTCCCAATGATCATATTATGCATAAATACATCATTGTCAGTCTCAAGTCTGACATCTCTCTCCCCCTCTTTTTTCAGGACTAGTCAAACTTGTACTTAACCTTGGCCACTACAGAAGATAAATAAAATCATTTAAACATATATTTGTACACTTGTAGTGCAACCACCACTTTCTATTATGAAAAATTTCAACAGAGCTCTCACTTGTTCTTTTTTTCCTTACGAAAGCTAACTAGAATGTTGATACCTCCTACTGTTATACAGTGATATCATGACATAGATTAAGGTACTGATGACCTTTCAGGAGACAAGCATTCTTTCCTCCTTTAGATTGAACTGATTAGTTTGCTTATGGAGTTCTGGAAGTCTATGCCATGATCAATAGTAGAAATTTCTTCTTAGCTGGGTGGGAGTCTCTGCTCAGAGATGAGCTTTTCATTTGAAAGTTAAGACTGGGATTCAGTCTTACCTTCAGTGGGAGGACATTCTACAGTCTAAAGTCTATCACACAGATACCTACTACTGCCACTCGGAAGTATAAATTTGGATTCCATCAGTAATAGTGCTTCCTCAGAAACAATTAATGAAGTAGAGAGGGAAAGATGGATGGATAGAATGGTTCAGTCATGTTCCTCAGTTTTACAGGTGAATGCCAGGACCTTGAACTTTATCCAGAATGTGACAGATAATGTAAAAGTGTGGATTGGTGACACATACTGAAACAACTTCAATATCTAGGGGTATTTCCATAGTTGGGACCAAAGCAGAATGAGGTATATTGATCTAGGATAGAGGTGATAGCAATGTACTTCCTTGACCGACTGCTCACAGAATCACAGAAAAGTAGGTTTGGAAGGGACCTCAAGAGGTCATCTAGTACAACTCCCTACTTGCGACAGGATCATCCCTATCCAAACCATCCCACATGGGTTCTTGTCTAACCTGTTCTTAAAACTACATTGAGGTGGGGACAGGGAATAGGCAAGAGGAGTAACTTTTTGGCTGGAGGTCACCTTCCCTGCCAGCTGCCAGGACACTAGAGCTACTGTGGCTCCACCCCTTGTGCAGTTGGAGCTTACAGCTGCCAGGACTCCAAAGCCCCATTTGCCTGTGTTCCCCGAGGTCCTAGACAAAAGCTTCAGCCCATAGCTGTCCAGGCTACAAACCTTAACTGTGGCCCTATCCGCCCTGCTCTCTCCCAGTTGCCTAAGGAGCTTGCCACACAGCTGGTGAGACTGACCTCAGCTCAGCTTTGTCTTTATCCTGATGATTAGGGATGTCCTGGCCTGGATCCAGCCTGGGACACAATGTAAGTTTGACACCCCTGTTCAAGAAAGTTCTTCAGTTTTCCTTCCTAATATAAATTGATATGGAATAGGATCCAGATGTTTTATATTAAAAGTTATCCCATTAGAAAATAGATTTACAAAGTCAGTAACATTTATGAGCAAGTGAGATTCACATTTTTTCCTTGCATGTAATATAGTAATTTCATTAATGTATGAAAAAAGCATATAAACTCTAAGTATGCAATATTCTTCAAGGTATTTCTAACTAGTGCCAGGCTGGCAGTTTTCAATAACACACCAGTAAAGCTGTCTATGCACTTAAGCAATGAAGTTCTCCTTCCAGTGCTGCTTGTTAATAGTTATTGACCTCCAGTTGACTCTAAACTGTATAAGATGAAATGGAATTATTACCTGTATGATTTAACTGCAACTACAGTCTTAAAATAATGTAAGTAGATATCTGAGGGCTCTTTAGTGATAGATCTATTTACAGTGGTTTTAGTGTGTCTTTATCAACACTGTAATAATTTTAATTGCTTGTATCTCAAGTTGCTAGCACTACTTAAAATAGAAAGAATAATTCTCCAAAATAGCATGATCACTTCTGGTCCATAGTCACTTCTGATCTGCAGTTTGCCGTTCCGTGGTCTAAAAAGGTTGGGAACCACTGCCTGAAAGGAAGAAGGGGGTGGGGGAGCGGGGAAAGAGAGGTTAATATTCATGTGTTCAGATAGTCTCAGATGTTTGAATGTGTTCTAAGTTACAAATTAATATGGGTTGCTGAAGGGATTTTTCCTTGAGGAATGATGTTCAAATGTGTAGGATCCTCAAAAGCAAATAGAAGGGACAGGAAATCAGCACAAAACCCATGAAAGGATACAACAAGTTAGGGATCTTCTGGAAGGGCTGGACATTTTTAAATCTGCAGGTTCAGATGCCCTCCACCCAAGGGTGTTGAGGGAACTGGCAGGGGTCATTGCGGAGCCCTTGGCACAGCTATATGAGCATTTGTGGTCATCTGGCCAGGTGCTGGGGGATTGGAAACCAGCTAATGTGGTCCCCATTTTTAAGAAAGGGAAGAAGGAGGACCCAAGTAACTATAGGCCCATAAGCCTCACTTCAGTCCTCGAGAAGATCTTGGAGAAAATCATCAAGGAGCACATCTGTGGGTGGCCAGCAGGGGAGATCATGCTCAGGGGCAACCAGCATGGGTTCATCAAAGGCAGGTCCTGCCTGACCAACCTGATTACCTTTTATGACCAGGTAACTAAATCCTTAGATGATGGTGTTGCCATGGACGTAGTCTTTCTAGACTTTAAGAAGGCCTTTGACACCATCTCTCACCCCATTCTCATTAATAAATTAAACAACTGTGGCATTGATACCTACACAGTTGGATGGGTAAAAAATTGGCTGATGGGGCACACCCAGAGAGTAGTGGTAGGCGGGTCGTACTCAACTTGGCGAGATGTGAGCAGTGGGGCCCCCAGGGCTCAGTCCCTGGGCTCGCACTGTTTAACATCTTCATCAGCGACTTGGATGAGGGGGTTGAAAGCACATTGTCCAAGTTTGCTGATGACACTAAGATGTGGGGTGAGGTGGGCACACTTGAAGGGAGAGAGAGGTTGCAACTAGATTTAGACAGACTACAATAGTGGGCAGATGAGAATAGGATGGGGTACAACATAGATAAATGTAGGGTGCTGCACCTTGGGGGAAGGAATCCACAACATACATACAGGCTGGGGAGTTCCCCTCTTGAAAGCACAGATGTGGAAAGGGATCTTGGAGTCATTATTGACTCCAAGATGAACATGAGCCGCCTATGCCAGACCGCAGCCAGCAAGGCCAGCCACACCTTGTCATGCATCCAAAGATGCATCACAAGCCAGTCCAGAGAGGTGATACTCCCCCTCTATGTGACACTGGTCAGGCCACAATTGGAGTACTGTGTCCAGTACTGGGCACCACACTTTAAAAAGGATGTGGCTAGCCTGGAGAGAGTTCAGAGGAGGGCCACCTGTTTGGTGAGAGGGCAGCAGGACAGGCCGTATGAGGAGAGACTGAGGGACCTGAATCTGTTTAGCCTTGGCAAGAGGAGGCTGAGGGGGGACCTGGTGGCTTCCTACAAACTCATCAGGGGAGATCATCAGCAAATAGGAAGAGCCCTATTCTCCCCAGCACCACCTGGGGTGACGAGGAACAATAATAATAAGCTGATGGAGAATAGGTTTAGGTTAGAGATCAGGAGGCAATATTTTACGGTTAGGGTGGCCAGAATCTGGAACCAACTTCCTAGGGAAGTGGTTCTCACCCCTACCTTGGGTAAATTCAAAAAGAGGTTAGATGATCACCTGCCTGGGGTCTCGTGAACCCAGCACTCATTCCTGCCTGTGGCGGTGGGTCAGGCTAGATGATCTGTTCAGGTCCCTCCTAACCCTAGCTACTATGAAACTATGAAACAGTGCATTACTCTGCTGGGTTTCCACTCGGGGAGGGGTATTTTAATTAGAGTGGTTCCTGGAGTGCCACTCTAATTAAAATGTCTCACCATCACATACACTAAACCTCCATGCATTTAAAAATGGCCGCAGAACACTTTAGCTAAAGTTTGATGAGATTTAGCTAAAGCGCCTCTGTAGTCATTGATTAATTGAGTGTTCCAATGCGTTGTAATTAGAATGTGAACCAGCATGTGAATAAGCAGTCAGCTGTCAGTAGATAAGAAAGGGTATATCTTATGTAAATTATGTTATCATGTGACTTGCACAAATCCTCAAAGCACAACACCATTCCACAAGTAACCAGCTACAGAGCCTATACCATACATTCTAAAAATCACATGAGGAAGTCATGCAACTCTGTTAAATAATGTGGCAATAATACTGCTGATGGTCTTTGCTATCCTGAATATTACTTATCTAAAACTAAAAACGGGGGAAAATAAATACCAACTCTGCCAAAGTGAGATGGGCATCTTTAATGACCAATGCTCTACAGTGTCTGTTATCAGTGCATATATTTCATCAGTACCTGTTCTCTTCAGTCATCTAGGCACAATAATGTCAGTAAGTTATTGTGTTCCATTATCATTTGTAAAGAGGAGAGACAGCCTTAATCACTTTGCAAACATAGCATTAAAAATATAATTAAAAACTACTTGTCTTGTTTTCATTCAGAGTAACTCATAAATCATGAAAGACTTCTGTTGAAAGAAGTATAAAGCTGTTATTGAAATTTCTGGTGTTTGCTAACATACGTCTCTGGGCCAAGCTTATACTACTGGTTATGTTGCTAGAATGGCTTTATGTAATATTCAGGCTAAGGCAATTCAGTCAGGTCTGTATTAAATTATTTATTTTTTAAAGGAAAGAGAACTATACAAAGTACGAGGGGCTATATCCAAGTGCCAAGTACAATATTTAAGCAACACCAAGATCATCAGACCACCTCTGTTCAGCTGCTACCTAACCTGTCGGATCAGTGGTTGGCAACCTTTTTATGTCATGCTCGAATCTTCCCACAGAAGTATGGGGAAAGAAATTGCTGTCATTGCTTCTCCCTGTGGCAAGATGGAGAAAACACCCATACTGCTGCTGCTTCCCATGATGACGTGGGGCACTGACAGAAGTAATATTTGTCACGTGATCAGCCCCTTGAAAACACTTTACAGCCATGCCTTGACAGAAGTGCACAACTGCAGAGTGATTTAAAAAGTGCCCAATCATGTAACAAATTAACTCTCATTTAATAAGCGTTCATATGAAAGTGCTCCAAAGCAGAACACCTTCATTAACTTCTGTTGTCCCTGTGGGAACAGGGCTGAACTAATGCAACCCAGCCTAGCCTCCAGTGCTGTCATCAGGGTGGGAGGGGGAGAAAGAAGGCAAGGGAGGGAGTTCAATTCTGGGGTTTGCCCAGTCTGCGCTGGGGGGGCAGGTGGATTGGACCCCCAAAGGTGTGAGGGGCAGCTCCAATCCACCCACCTCTAGCATAGGCTGAGCAAACCCCAGAATGGAGCTCCCTTCCCTGCTTTCTCCCCCTTCCCATCCTGACGACAGCACCGGACAGGGGGGTGGGATTAAGGGAGAGAGGCTGCAGATACACAGTGGAGCTCGATTCCTGCCCCTGCTCCCCCTACCCCCCCCACCAAACAGTGAATATCTGTTGGTTTGAGGAGGTAATTGTAACTCATGGTGCTTTCTGTGAAGTGCCACAAGTTACATGGGGGAGCTGCATGTCTGTCAACACCCATGCAGAAAATGTCCACCATCAAAGCCCTCTGCTGCCAAATGCTGCCAAAACTCCATATCTGTGGGCCAGATCAAATGACTCCATGGGCCAGATCTGGCCTGTGGGCTGTAGGTTGTGAACCCCGGTGTTAGATGCTTACATTTTGCAAGCAAATTTGCCCAGGAAGCCAAGGAACCCTGTAATCGTACGCAGAATATGAAAGAAAAGGCCTTCAGCATCCTAGAAATGTGGTTGAGGCATCTGTCATCCAGTGGGATATAGCAGTGCAGCCCAAGAAAGACCAATAAAGTATTTGCTGATTCTTTAAACTGAAACATGGAATACCTCTACCAGAGGGGCTAGGTATGGATGAGAGATAAGATGATTATGGCAGAGGAGAATCCAAAAAGACATATCCCATGGGCATATGTTTTCAGATGCTATGTTACTTCCTGGGGATGGGGAAATCAAGGATCAACTTTTGTGCAAGGTGTCCTAAAGCGGACTAACTGGTCATCACTGAAAAAGGAGAATGGCCTCTGAAGCATGTACTTAGAACTGTAGTCTATGCCACAAATGTTAGGAGCAGGGCAAAGAAGTGAAGCTTTCAGAATGAAATATGTGATGTAAAGATGCTTATAAACCAAACGGCAGTCAACACAAAACAGACTTCAAAGACTTAAAAACCTATGATTCATAGAAAGACTGATTTATAGGTACAGCAAGTATTTTTCAGAGATTTCATAGATTTTCAGGGTCAGAAGGGATCTCAGTAGATCATTGAGTCTGACCCCCTGTCCTGGGCAGGAAAAAATGCTGGAGTCAGATGACCCCAGCCAGGTGTATATCCAGTGACTCTCAGGGAACTGTGCAGTGGGAGTGAACCTATCATTTGGGATTTGTATTGTCGTGAATGTTGATCATTGCTCATTTTCTCCTATTTTTCAGTGGTGGGATAGCTGTTGCAGAATGGTTTGAATTCTCAGTACCTTGAAACCTGAAAGCTGACACCCCTATTCCAGCCTTTTGTTTCAAGCCAAATTTGCATGCTCACAGAGCAGCCTCAACACAAGAGAAATTAATTGCCCAGGAAAACTTTCCATCTCCAATCCTCCTGAGAAATATGAAACATCATAACAAGAAGGAAGCATAATTCAGTGTCCTGCCTGCCATCAGACAACTTAGAGGTAAATAGATTGCTCCAACTTTTATCTGAGCCTAATTTGCATAAAATGAACTTTTCCATGCAGGAGACCTTACACCACCTTTCAGCTTTCCTGAGAAATATGAATTTCATTTCCACCTGGGAGAAATTTTACAATCTTTGCACTCTTCTATGCCTGAGAAAGGGCACGTGTGCCCAAAGGCTTGCAAATAAAGAAATATTTTTGCAACTATCTAGTTGGTGTAATAAAAGATATCACCTCTACCAAGAGTTCTGATTGCTAACTCAGGGCTATAAATTCAATAGGATACTGTTAGTTCCAAGATGCACTTGGCCCCCAAATATAAGCCCGGGCTTTATTTTTATTATTTTATTCATTATTTAAAGAGAAATAATTTGCCAGCCTACCAAAAAAAAGTGCAAATAAAAAGCACTCCCTCAGACCTCCTCAAAAATTCTCAAAACCTTCAAAAACCTAAGCAGTTAAATCCTTTGGAATAAAGCAACATAGCTAGTGGTAAAGGAAATTAGAGCAATCTTTAGGCAATTTCTAATAGAAGCCTGGTGAGAGAAAGTATGCATTTTTCTAACAGGGTTTTCAGGTCAAGTAATCTATAAGACTACCTATAGCTTACTTGCAGGTTTACCTAGAAACCTGCCCTATCACACGGTAAATAATTCTCATTATTGGCTCTTGTTTGAATAGTTCCCAGATTCAACAGGCACTCTTTAAATGATGTATCTAAATGCATATAGGGCAGGCACAAAAGAGCATCAATTTCTATATTCTCACTGCTAATAAGGCAACATTGTATTCTTTGTAATTTGTGGGGGCTCTCAAATCAGAATAACTGGGCCAACATGAGTTGGCTTGCCCATTATTGCTTGAGTATGAATTAGAGAACAAAACATTTGGTTGTGGCACAAGGGTGGCTAATTATAGGCACACTGGAAATGGTGATGCACAAGGACACCTTTAGACTGTAAATGATGAGAACCAATTATGGGCTATTGAGTACTACTCAGATATTACTCTTAGCAGGGGATAATAGTATGCAGGTGAAAGGGGGATTACTGAATGTACAATTGCATGCAAGGACTAATTAGCCCTGTTGAGAAGTCCTGCATTATGCTGTATCGGCATACCCTGGGCATTCATGTGGAACAATGCTATATCAATATGAGTTTCATACTCTGGCTGTGTCCTGGGTTTCAAAGCACTACAATTAGGCTCTCTGGATCGTGAAGGCTTTTGCAGTGGATAGTGAAGTATTTGTCAGCAGTGAGTGGAACTATGTGAGTCTGAGTCACACTCCTGTGACTCCTCCTCCTGCATCTGGGTCTGTTGGCTTATGTTCCTTGATCAGCTACCAGTAGCATAATGAGCAGGGGGTGACTGGGGCAGCAATTTGCGGAGAAGAGGAATTCAAAAGTAGCCACTGCCATAGTGTGGCTGAATGTACTATTGCAAAATCGGCATGGCAGGCACTTTTACTATAGAAAAGGGGGCAGGCCAGCCACTAGTGCTGCCCTGTGTGTCATGGCTGCCCTTGGCACAGAGCTGTCCTGCTATGCCCTGTCAGCTATACTTGGTGGAAAGTTGTCAGGACCTGGCCAGCCAATGTGAGAGGGGATGGGGATATAGACCCGACTAAGCCAGAAGTAACTTTAGGTTATAGAAGCTGTTTTCCTGAAAATCTGTGCAGAGCTCACCCCAGAGCTACAACACTAGACCCCACAACATGAATCCCTTCCATGCACAAGGAGAAACCAAACCACAGCAGGGTAAACCTTAGAAAAACACTACGTAATGCATACAACTCTCCATCAGTGAGAGGAAGACAGAATGACACATAACAAAATAGCAGATGCATCTGAACTAAGTGAATTAAGGGAAGGAGCAGCAGAATATGGTGTTCGAAGAGAGGAATAGGGATGACCAATAAGCCTGTGTGAAGCTTCAGTCCCTGGTTCGATTCAGCAGAGATTCAACCTGGTTTGGTGGCTGAATCTCTGAATCCGAATCGAATCAGAGGACCCTTTAATCTCTCCGAATCGATTTGGACTGATTCGGCAATTCAGATGTAGATACAGCTTTAAATGTTTTTTCTATATACCTCTAGATAGCAAGGGCTATGAACGCTGCGGTGCTGGGACAGGTGCAGTGTCCCACAGAAACACGGGGGGCTCCCCAGCACACTTGGTAGCAGACCCAGAAGTGGACCAGAAGCACTTCCAGGTCCACTGGGAAGCATGTGGCAGGGTCCACCTGCACCCCCTCTGGGTTGGCAACTGGTGTCTCCTGGGTCGGGGCGGGGGGGGGGGAACCTGGGGTCCCCCTACAGCCAATCGCCGAGCTGGGGGGGATGGAGGGGGTAGTGCACTCCTCAGCAGGCCTGGAAGTGGACTGGTCCATTTCTGGGTTTGCTGCTGAGCACTCTGGAGAGCCCCCTGCGCTCCTGTGGGACACTCCATGTGCTCCAGCACTGCAGCGATCACAAGCCCCACTGCTACCTCAAGGTACGTTGAAAAAACTTTTAAAGCTGTGTTTGTGTCCAAATCACTGATTCACCATATCAGCATCAAGTCGTCTGATTTGGGTTTGGCTGAATCTAATCCGGGACAGTGATCCAAATCAATGGATTGAATCACTGTCCCTGATTTGAGCCGAATCTGAATCAAATAGAGCCGTTTCACACACCCCTAATGAGCAACAGGCAGCCAATCTTAGCCACTCCCTGAAAGGAACTAAGACCATCAGGTACACTGTGAGCATTCTTTGGCTGGTATCTTCCAAACCAAATGTCTAAGAATTCCTCAAGCTGTGCTCAAGATTTAGGTTGCATTAACTTGAACCCATATAGGACAATGAATCAGTCAGGACAAAAAGAGCCTGGAATACTAGAAGCATCTTTTGGGCCTGGTTCTTTCACTTTTCTTTTTTTTCCCCCACTTCCTCCTCTACTCAGGAGTGTACACGAGTGCACACATGAATGGTGTGTGCCCCTGGCGGCTGGTGGGGCACAGCTGCGCTGGCAGGAGTGCGACAGCGGTGGCAGGAGTGCGGCAGTGGTGAGTGGGGAGCTCCCGCAGATGCTGCTGGAGCTGTCAGCAACAGGGGGTGGTGAGCACCAATTATGGGTCGGCGACCACCCGCAGGTGCCTCTGGCAGCGTCGGTGGTGGCCAGGGGCAATCATGAACCACCCACAGATGCCGCCGGCAGTGCTTGTGGCGGGGTGTCAAGTGGCAACTGCCCGCAAGCACTACCAACAGTGTCAGTGGCGCCTTTTTGCAGGGGGTGCACCACCACACGGATGCATCCCCTACGCGTTGCCCCTGAGTGCACATAAAAACCTTTATCACTGTTCTTCCTGACCAAATTCACAGTCCCAGGGTGTTTAGCATACCCCGCCCACCAGGGAACAAGGTTTACAGAAACCAGTATAGACCTTGGAAGAATGACATGTATTCCCAGTGATTTTAGTCTTCTGATTACATGCCTTCAGGTTCCAGTACTGAATCATTCTTGCCGGGGGGCAGAATGACAAGGGCTGAAAGATGGTGACAGTGGTGATAATGAAGCAATACCTTCCTAATGGAACTGGAGAAGTTGTTCTCTATCTATGCCTGTATGTGTCAGCATGACTTGAGCTACACTGATCCTAGGTTCCTTTTTGAAGGTCACTGAGCAGACAACAAGCTTTAGCTAGTCCACAGCATTACAGATACCAGACCAATTTCTCAAGTCCACTATTTAGAATGGCAGATAAGTCTGTGAGTTTCTCATCTACCGCTCTCTGAGAGAAAAGCATGCAACATAGCAGAATCCAAGGTCCTGGGAGTGGTCAACAGAACACAGAAAACATCAGAAAACCAAGACAGGAGCTATGTGCATAGATCAACAAGCACCAGCCATCAATAGAACAGTTATACACAATACTCACTTGGAATATATGGATGTTGATACTAACTATGTGGGGTCAAAACTAATTAGGCATCTTGCTTATCAAATGCTATCCTGTCTTGGTCATCCTGTTTAATTCCTGGAATCAGATTATGCTATATCACCAATTTCACCTATTTATGAAGATCTTATATAGCTAATTTTATCGATCATTAAATTAGTAATCTACAAATAACACAATAACACAAACTCATCAAATAACAATCTCAGACCACCACCCCTCACCCCATTCCTTTGCCATCAGTCATTCTGTTGTCAGTTCATCAATTTATCTCTTCCCAAAATGATGGTAAAGAAATGTGTGCTTCATGCTGCATACCTGGAGATGTATCAAATCCAGACTGTGGTGGAGCATGTTGGATTATGAGTTACAAAGTCAAAAGTCTTTCACATAGAATGTCCTGTAAGCATCTCTCTACCTTTTAAAGTCAACAAGGGTGCAGCTCAGTTAGTTGTATCTGTGGGCACACTGGAAGTTAAAAGAAATCAGTAGGATGACTTTATGCCTGTCAGCCCTCATAACATGCTTTCCCCCTGAGCCAAAAGGGTGTCTCACGCAAACCTGTGTAGGTGTCTAAAGAGCCTCAACCCTGTGGCCTTATGCTCTACTAGGTGTCAGTGAGCTTTCAAATATTTCTAAAAAGTTTCATGCTCTACTAGGTGTCAGTGAGCTTTCAAATATCTCTAAAAAGTTTTAGCTGCTTCTGGATGAATAACTGCAGTAGATCATTTGACAGTATTACACTAGTCATGCCTCCTCATGACCACCACGAGCTTATCCCCTCTCCTGCAGTCAGTGAAATACATGTTTTAAGTTCTATTATTCTTGCAAAAGGTAAACTTTCCCCATGTCTCAGTATCATACAGAAAACGTTTCAAAATAGTGTTATTACCTGATTATCCCTATTCTTAGAAGCTGCTTAGAAAGGCTAAATCCGAGTGTGCTCTCTCAAGTAAATTGACCACTTAACTGCCTCTGTATAACTTGCAATTATGCTAATGACTTCTACAGCATTTTACTGTATCTTTCTGAATCTTTGTTGAAAATTATAGTAGGTTTAATTTCCTCTAACATAGTCTGCCTGATCTGGTATTACCTAGTCAAATCTTACATTACACTCAACTAAGGAAAAATTCCTATGTAGCCTGTACTGGAATTGGCCACTTCTTTTGCTAATTTTTTGTATGCCCAAAAATATGTTAGTCACTTTACAGAACAAGCCAAGACAACCCAGAACCTTCCTCCCTTCTGTCAATGCACCTTGAACAAAAAAGAGTCATTTACAGCCACTATATTCAGCAATAGAATATTTGAGGATTAAGATTATTTTTGGACTGTTTCCAGAAAAATGCACTTATACCATACAAAGTAAACAAATGGGGTATTTTGGGAAAACCTTAGGAGACTTAATACTTATAACCAAACTATTCATACAGGATGCAGCATCTATTACTTAAGTTAATTATTTAAGTAAAATGAAATCCCCTATTTTCATACAAAAACAAATACCAATCATACAGGATTCAAACTAAAAAATCTCCATCTGGTGACTAAGATAATTGTTTCCAAAAGAAGCACCTAAAACTAATCATTTTTAAAACACTTACATTTCAAAGAATCCTTACTCCTACCTTTTATCTGGTTGCCAATGACATCAGAAAGTTATCGTTGGATCCAGCAGAGAAGCCAGAACTGCAAAAATAATGTGAAATGAAGTGGGCAACAGATATTGTGATAAAATATAATTACACTATACCAAGAAAAGATTTCTTTTGAAACTTCCATATTGAAGTGACAGCTACCCACCAAGACATACAGTACATTCACAGAAAGTTTTTCTGTGCAGAAATTGAAAGATGCCTCAAGATCCCTTTTAGATCTAAAAACTAAAGAAAACAGGTTCAATTCCCAGATTAGATGATAAGCATACATGACAGTTTTCAACTTTGCTCTGGAAAAAAGGTTATGATCTTTTATAAATAGAGTACAACTAAAAGCTGTATTGAGTAACACTTTGGACCAGCCCCTCCCACCTCCCCATGCCAAAAAAGTGCACTGGAGTCAGGGGAAAGGGTTATTAGCTTTGATTTGGGGCCTAAGCCTTTTCCTAGGGACTGCAGTTGAGCAGAATTTCATCCTATCTAAGAACTGATCCAACTCCCATCAAATTAAGATAGACATTGCCAAATGAAGCAAATTGGCTGTGCTTTAGGGCTGTGCAAAGTGTTGGGTGCTGATTTGATTCGGAGGAGATTCGGCCCGATTTGGCGGCCGAATCTCTGAATCTGAATCGAATCAGGAGACCAATAAAAAGGTCTGAATCAATTCGAAGCTTGCCAAATTGATTCGGAAAAGATTTGGGGATCTTTGGAGACTGGGGCAGTCCCTGCTTGCTGCTGCAGGGAGCTGGACCTGTACTCCATGCTGGTAAGCAGGGGGCGGGGGAGGGAGGGCCTGGAGGAGGGGATCATGGGGGGACCCCAGCCAGGCCCCATCCCTTGCTTGCTCCCTTAGCCCCCCTGATTGCCCCCCAAGCCCCCATCTGCTCACCCCGCCCCCCCACCACCCACAGCTGGCCCGACCGGC